GGTGGTTAGACCAGTGGGGGCTGGAGCCAGGACTGCCTGGGTTCTCTCCCCCACTCTGCAGGGGCGGGCGGGGTGGGGATGGATAGAACTGCGTGAGCCTTGTCCTGATCCGTTTGCTGCTCTCCCGCCCCCCTCAGCAACAGAGCAAGGTGCCTGTGGCCAAGGCCTCGTGCGAGCTGCTGGCCAGTGGGGCGTGCGTGGGGGCCGACTGCCTGCTGAAGGTGCTGGCCAACTACAGTCGCAGCCAGGACCTCAAGACAGCCATCAGCGTGGGGGTCGTAGGTGAGAGACACGGGCCCTTCGCTGCGGGGGAGCAGGACGCCTGGGTTCTCCCCGGCTCGGGGAGAGGAGGAGGCTCCAGGGGTTAGAGCGGGGGGGGGTGGGCTGGGAGCCCGGATGCCTGGGTTCTCTCTCTGACTCGTGTCCCCCGTGCTCTTGTTCCAGGGTTCCCCAACGTTGGCAAAAGCAGCCTGATTAATAGCCTGAAGCGGAGCCGGGCCTGCAGCGTGGGGGCTACGCCCGGCGTCACCAAGTAAGCCCTCCTGCCCCACGCTGGGGGTGGGGGTCCCCCCGGCGCTGCCCTGCTCCTCGGCTGATGCCCCTTGCTCCCCCCAGGTGCCTGCAGGAGGTGCAGCTCGACCGGCACGTCAAGCTCCTGGACTGCCCCGGCCTGGTCATGGCGACCGCGGCCACAGACGCCGCCCTGGTGCTGCGCAGCTGCCTCAAGGTGGAGCAGGTGGCCGACCCGGTGACGCCCGTGGACGCCATCTTGAGACGCTGCTCCAAGGAGCAGGTACAGGAGGGGGGCGGTTGGTGGAGCGCTCCGTGGGGCGATGCCACCACCAGCGGGGCCAATGCCGTCAACCAGGGGACAGGCCCTGAGAAGCGTCAGATCTGAACGCACCGGCCCGGGGCCCAAAGGAGCTCCAGTCTATTGAACCCCAGCCTTGAGGGTCCTGGGAGGACCTGTCCTGAGCTCCCGCTTTCCTGCCACAGCGGACATGGGGCTCCCAGCCCCCCCGTTTTCTCCCCAGTCTCCCCCCCACAGCTCCTTCTGGAGCAATGAGGAGAAGCAGCGCTGGTCTTTGAAGACCGGGGAGAATTGATTGTTCACCTGGGGCAGGTGGAGAGGCCTTAGGTCGGTGGCAGAGGCCATATGGGGGAGAGTGGGGGTCCCTGCCGCCCCGTTGGTCTGTTCTCACCTCCACGCACTCCTCACGTGGTCACCGTCCCAACAGTTGAGTGTTAACGGGCAGGTTGTTGGCTCTTCCCTTGATTGCTGGCTCCTCCATCGTCAACTCCAGCTCTTCCGTTCGTAGGTGTCGCTTCCACCCACTTTCACAGGGCTGGTTCCAACCCAGACGGTTTAGACTCGAAGCCCAGCCCCTCTCTTCCTTGTCCCAGGAAGGAAACGAACACTTCCTTCCCAAGGGATGGAAATACCGGTCCCAGGACGAGATTGCTCATGGACGCCTTTCGGGTAGGCAGCCTGCTGCCATTTTCCGACTAAGAACGTCGATTAGACGAGAGCAGAATGGTTCACGGGCTCATCGGTGTTTCTTCCAGTTTGTCAAACTCCGTTACTGAGGCCTCACCCTCCCTCCCTGACTGACCTCGACCTCGTTATCTCCAGACTGAGTCTTGCCTGCATTTATACCGGCCTCTGGGCATTTCCACCACATGCGTCTGACAAAGCGGGCATTCACCCACGAACGCTTATGCTCCAATACATCAGTTAGTCTTAAAGGTGCCACAGGACCCTCTGTTGCTTTTTCCAGATCCAGACTAACACGGCTCCCCCTCGGCTACTCAATTACTGAGGTTTCCCTTTGATAAGTTCTAGTATTCCCGCTAGCCAGCGAAATGAAACGATGAATAGAATCTCGGGAGGAAGGGCTCAGAACGAGACGACTTTATCCACTGCGATCATCCAGATCAACACAGGCCAGGAAACCTCCCCAAACTAATTCCTGGAGCCGAGCGTTTCGGAGAACCTCTCCGCGTGACTGAGAACCCACCAGCCATGGAGACCCCACCACGCTGCTGGGAAATTGTTCCGGACTCTCCTCGTTACGAATCAGTGTCTTGTTTCCGGGCGGAATCTGTCCAGTTTCACTTGCCAGCCTGCGGATCGTGTTAGACCAGACTGAAGAGCTCGTTAGTAGCTCTTTGGGTACCTCCGGGGGTTCCTACAGACTGGGGTCAAGTCGCCCCTTAACCGTCTCTCTCAAGCGAAATAGACCGAGCTCCTTGCGTTTCTCGCTCCCGGGCCGGTGTTCGAACCCTTGACTTTTTCTCATGGCTCTTCCCTGACCCGTCTCCAGTTGAGCAGCAGGGTCCTGCAATGGGCGGGTGGGGGCCGCAGCGTGGGGGTGTCCGAGGGAAGATGGAGGGGGAGACGCGACCGTGGAAGCGAAGAGAGAGGAGAGGGAAGTGGTTTGATGGGCGTGTCTGGCTGCTCCCCACCCTAGATCATGCAGCACTACGGTGTGCCGGCTTACCGGGACGTCACGGAGTTCCTAGCGCACCTCGCCCGGAGAAAGGGGAAACTGAGGAAAGGAGGCGTGCCCGATCACGAGAAGGCTGCCAAAGCTGTGCTGAGTGACTGGATGAGGTGGGTGGGGAAGGGGCAGAAAGGGGGCGGGGGGGCACCAGCCCTAATCTGGCACTAGGGCAGGGGACTGGCTGGCTGCGGGGGTGGGGAATGGGACCCTTTAAGAGCCCCAGTTCTTTCTCCTCCCAGTGGGAAGATCAGCTATTTCACGCACCCCCCCAGAGACCCACACGCTGCCCACCCACATCAGCGCCGAGATCGTCACGGAGATGGGCAAGGCCTTTGACTTCGAGGCGCTGGAGCAAGGCAACCAGGAGGCTTTGTCTGGTAACCTGTTACACCCTGCTCCCCTCCCAGAGCCAGGAAAGAACCCAGGAGTCCTGGCTCCCAGCCCCCCTGCTCTAACCCACCAG